ATTCAATTTCTTCGTCCTCCACGTCCTCCTTGCTGTTGCTCCTCTGCACTTCGAGTGGCAGGAGGTGCTGCCTCCCTCCTCTTATCTCTCTCTCTCCTCCTCCTCTCTTCCCTCCTCCTTCCTCGCCCGGCTTCTGACTCATTTTCTCCCCGCTTCCCCTCCCTGCTCTCCCTTCCCCCTCCTCTACCTGCTCTTGTTCTCCTCCTTTCTCGTCCTGTTCCACTTGCTGGCTGAATGGCTCCTTGCAGTCGTTCCCCTTCAAGAAGGGACTGTTTGCTGTCACGGTGAGAAGCGAGTCGAGAGAAGAGAGGAGGAAGCAAGCGGAGAGAGGAAGGAGGGGCGAGCAGTGAGTTTGAGGGGGGGAGGAGGGGGGGAGACAAGGGAAAATTACTTATGACAATGGGAGGAAATGATGGAGCAGGAGCAGAGAGAGGTGAAGGAGACGGAAATTCAAAGAAGGGGCAGCAGCAGCAGCAGAGGCAGCAAAGGCGGCGGCAGCGGCAGCGGCAGCGGCAGCAGCAGCAGCAGCAGCAGAGGCAGCAGTAGCAGTAGCAGCAGCAGCAGCAGCAGCAATGTTTTCGTTTTCATCCTCACGAGGGAGTAGATGGGTTTTGCTCTCCTCGGCATCTTGCACTGGACCATCCTCCTTCCAGGTGACAATAGTCTCCTCCTGCCCACCACCGCCCTCCCCCCATTCCCTCCTCCTCCTCCTCCTTCTCCTCCTCCTCCTCTGCCTATTCGTCCACATTCGTGACGAATGAGGCTCAGTGTCCATCCTCGTCGGCAACAACATCAACTACATGATGAGTCCTCCCAAGGGGCCCCTGCTCTGGTTTGGTAAGGAGGGCGAGGAGGACGAGAGGGAAAGTTTTCTCATGTGTCGAGCAGGCGATCACTACAGATCAATCCAAACGTTCGGAACCTACCTCCTCCTCCTCCTTCCCGGTGAGACGTTTTACATCAGCCCCCACCATCTTCGTCATTTGTATCCTCCTCGTCTCCTCCGCTCACTCCAGCTCAGGGCTGCTGTTCCCTGCCATGGTGGACTTGGCAAAGAGGATGTCGGGGAAGGTGAGGGAGAGGGTGGGAGTTGGGGAGGGTGATGTTTGCCCAGTGGAGAAGACAGAAGTCAGCGTGAGAGAGGATGGGAAGAAAGACGGAAAGCACAAGATGAAGTATGTGAAGCAACCCAAGGACTCTCCTCCTCCTCCTCCTCCTCCTCCTCCTCCTCCTCCTCCTCCTCCTCCTCCTCCTCACTCACTCACTCACTCACTCACTCAATCACTCACTCACTCACTCACTCACTCAATCACTCACTCACTCACTCAATCACTCACTCACTCACTTCTCGTCCCAACATGCATCTTCTCCCTCTTCATCTTCGTCATATCAAGGGAAGGTCGTGTTTCATTCCATAACATCCTGTCATGTCAACTTCTGTGCCAACTTCGCCTCCAACGTGCTCTTGGGCACTGCTCCGATGATTGTATCCAGCTTCTCTCCATCCTTGAACAGCATCAGCGTTGGGATACTTCTGATCCCATACTCCGTTGCCGTCTCCTGGTTCTCGTCCGTGTTGATCTGAACCAACTTCAGCTTCCCCTTGTAGTCTGCCGCGATCTCGTCCAGGACGGGCTTGATCATCCGGCACGGCCCGCACCATGGCGCCCAGAAGGAGACCAGGGTCGGCACTGCGGATTCCCAGTGAGACACAGCAGCTGGGGTAGCAGGAGGAGGAGAAGACGGGGAGAGGGGGTGGAGCAAGGCTGAGGGGTTGAAGGGAAAGGAGAGGGGTAGAAGGGAAGCGACTTGGAGGCGAGACGTCGTGGAAGGAATGCGGAGGTCGAGGACGTGAACGAGGAGGGGTGGGAGCGAGAGAGAGGGAGGGAGAGGTAAGGGGTAGAGGGAGGGGGGGTGGTACCTTCAGAGTCAAGCACGAGGTCCTTGAATGAAGCGTCTGTCGCGTCCGTGCATGACATGCGAAGGGAGAAGGGAGCCGTCCTGACCGTCTCCTGCTGCGATCTGCACACTTGCTGCGTCGCATGCGGCACTTGAAACGGGGCGCGAAAACTCGTACGGAAGGCGGTGGACTGATTTAGAGTTAACGCTAGCACTGCTAGCAGGAGGCTGAGACGCAGCATCTGCAACCTGGTGAGCAAGAGATGAGAGGAGGAGAGAGTCTGGTGCTGGTTTCGATTGCTACATGCTCTCTACAGGCATTGGCTCTCCAGAGTCAAGTGCCCAACCAGAAGCCACGTTAAGTTCTTAGTTGCTGACCAAGGTTTCTCGTCTAGTCTCCTCTTCAAGTATTTTCTCGTCTCTGATCTCATGGCTTTCATTCTCAGTCCACGTTTTCCTGAATGCTTCAACCCATCTCGTGCATTCTCGGCATCTGCGCTTATTGTCCACCTGCGCACTCATCGCCTTCTCCCTCTTCGCACACTTCGTTTCCTCAACCTGACCCTCCCTCATCTAATCCCGGCACTCGTCCTTGTCCTCTCCTCCCGATCGTCCTGCTCCTCCTGTCACTCATCCTCTCGTCGTCTTCAAGTAATCATCATTACTCTCCTCCTCCTCCTCCTCCGCCTCCTCCTCCTCCTCCTCCTCCTCCTCCTCCTCCTCCTCCTCCTGCGTGGGCTTCTCGATTCATTACATCATCTTCCACCCCATTCGCTTACCCCACCCCACCTTGGTGCCATCACAACTTTCATAACCCTATCATTCACATACCGGACCCCTTCTCAGACTACCTCCACCCACTAAGTTTGAATAATACCCCTCAGAATTACTCATATTTCCCTGCCATTACCCATACATATTGATGATTCCCCGCAATATGACCCTGCCTGTCAAGTAGTGACCCCCCATACTTCAAAAGTACCCCTGCTTTCAGCGAAATAACCCCCATTCCCAGATTCCTTACAGCCTAGCCTCGATAGTTGAGTGGGGATGAGGCTTCCACGGAAGCCTCCGGACCGTTCAACACGGTTGTGAAACCGGGCCGGGCCGAGTACGGTAGTACGGCGGTCGGTGACCGTGGCACTCAGTCAGTTGGGCCGGGCCCGGGGGCCGGTCACGCCGTCGGCCGGTCCGGGCTCAGTCACCCCGGCGTCCGGCGGTGCGTGCGGGGCCCGGCCCAGACGGCCGCATCATCCGGCGGATTCGATTGATCCAATTGCAGCGAAAGGTGACTCTGTGACCGTTCGAGTCGCGGCACAGCCTGGGCTTGCCAACTGAAAGTTGTGAGCCCGCCGTCAGGGCCCTGCCCGGGCTGGCGACCGTACCGTGGCACGGACCGTCCGAGGCACTCGGAGTGCCAGTGGCACCGGGCCGCCGCCTCAGGGCCTCGCGGCGCCGCACTGTGCGATACTATGATAGGCACTGTCACAGTGACGCCCCGGCGCCGCTGAGAGAACTCAGGCTGCATCACTGTCATGTACTCAGGCTAGGGGGCGCGGCTGTCACCGTGTGTACTACCTGTGACAGTTGTAAAGTCGATGTCTGAGTCTCCGACGCGCCGGGATCGGATCGAATGATACTACTGATCGGAGCCTCGGAGCCCGGCGGCCGGGCCGCAAGTCAGTAGCCTGGAGTCCGGCGGCGCCCGGCTACTGATAGTACTCAAAACGGTTTCTTGACGGTTACATTTCATAGGAGGTCTTAGAAGGATATACGGGCGTATGACCTGATACAAGACGAAGAGCCATGCAGTTTGCTAGCCCAACAGCGGCAAAGCTGGCGGCGTGTGCGGGGGTTCCGATCCTCCTCCTCCTCCTCCTCCTCCTCGACCGTACTCCCTCCCCCAGTCTCCTCCTTGCGAGGTCGCATGCTTCACTTCGCTCTCCCTTCATGGCGAGACGGGCGGTCGGTGGTGCTAGGATGCAGTCGCTTCTGCTTCCATGGTACGAGACCGTGTCGGTGGGAGATGGCACAGGGCCGGAGAGCACGAGCTACTGGAAGGTCCCACCGCAGACCTCACTTCGAGGAGGGTTCCCGGCTCCCCCCAACAACTTCCAGGTGAGCTGAGTAGCGGTGCGAGGGCAGCAGTCCGTCTGACCCCTGGCAGGATCCCACCATCTGGAATGCCGACAGCGTGTTGAACGGTGGGAACAAGGAATGGTCAGAGGAGGATGCAGCTCTGCATGCCTACAACATGGTAAGAAGATTCGCGGCTGATCCGCTCGTTGCCCCCTGATGGCGTCATGCAGCAACGGTGGAGGAACAAGATCCTGGACGAGCAGGTCGAGAAGCAGGAGAATATGTGGAACCTCATGAACCGAGCGGACTTTTGCGACAGATACTGTGGGGGGGACAGAGGTAGAGGCTGCTGCAGATGCTGCTTGCTTGTCGCCCGCTCACCTGCTCTTGTAGACTGGGGTAACATGTGCTATCGCTGCCACGGATGGAACGAACTCAGGTCCGACCACCGGACTGCCACGTTGAACCATGCGGAGAAGGTGAGGAGTCGGAGGGGGCAGCGATTGATGATGATAACGTGGCTTGTGATGAACCGATGAGGATGTAGAGGTTGGGATGAACATGATGAAGGTGTGAAAGCAGTTGTCTGAAATTGAGATGATACAAAAATCGATCCGATAGACAGACAGACAGACAGACAGGATGAGGAGGAGTCAACGATTGCTCTAGTACTGATGTAAGTATCTTCAGCAGGGTGCCAAGGGTGACAAGGGGAGCGACAAGCAGAGCAGCAAGAGCAAGAGCAAGGAGGAGCTTGCCAAGAACCTCAGGAAGCTCGCGGACGATGCCATCAAGGCCCTGGCCGACCTCGACGCTCCTCGCACGGAGGCTGGGAAGGAGCTGGAGGAGAAGACGGCGGACAAGATGCAGAAGATCCTCCAGTCGATCAAGAAGGAGAGCTAAGGGAGGGCACTAGGGAGCCATGGGTACTGAAACATCTTGTTTGAGTCGTTTTCTTTTGCTGTGTGTATTCTTACATTACATAATTTACATCTTTGGAGCTGCTGCTTCGCTGTTGCTGCTACTCTGTGCGAGGACGCTTCTCTCCCCTCTCCTCCTTTCCCTCCTCTTCTCGCTCCCTTCCCTTGCCAGACGAGCCTTCATCGCACTGCTTCGTACCTTCCTCGCCAGTCGCTGTACTGCATGCAGCACACGCGTCTCTTCTTCCTTCCTGTCCCTTCGCTCCCCTCGTCTCCTCAGAAGCTGCTTCAACCATTTTCTCATCCTCCTCTTCCTCCTTCCTTCGCAACTTCTTTTCAGTCTGCCCTCCATCCTCCTGCTCGTGCGCTGCTTGCTCAATTTCCTCCTGCTCTGTTGCGTCCACTTTGGCTGCCATGTTCGTGTCCAGGCTCGTCCCTGTTGTGCTGGGCTCTTGTCGCTCGTCCATGGCCTCCTTCTCCTCTACCTCCTTCGTCCTCACCGTCTTCTGCACTTCCTCACCCCGTTCATACTCGGCCGCACCTTCCGGGCGTGTCTCCACCATGGGATCTCTGGAAGTCGTGCAAGGATCGTGCCGGTCCTCTGGCAGAGAGTGCTGTGCTCCAGAGCTCGATGGCTCCTCCTCTTTCCCTTGTTTCTTCTCTTTCTCTTCAGCCCCGGCGCGCGGCATCGAAGCTCCCGGATCCCCAGCAGGCACTTGGCCAGATGAAGTGACTGCAGCAACGGGCACGTCATCCTCCATATCATTCTCCTTGGTAATCGTTAGAGCTTTCGCGTTCTCGTCCTTCGCCTTCTCCTCTTCCTCCTCCGTCTTGGGCTTGTCAAGAACTGCAGTTTTCGCGTCTTCAGTCTTCTCCGTTGCCTCCTGCTGCTCTCCTGGACCCTCAGCTGTCTTTCCTTCTTGCAAGTCCTTGAGGGTTGGCGACTCCTTCGCGCTCTCCTCCTCTCCCTCCTTCCGCATTCGCTCAGCCCCTTCCTTGGAGATTTCCGTACCATCCTTAGACTTGCACGCGCCAGTCTCATCGCTGGCGCCTTGAACTCTCCCGTCCTCCTCCATCGGATTCGCCCGACTCTCTCCCCTGCAGTCATCCCCCGAAACTGTTCCTTGCTCCGAGGCGCTTGGAGGCGAGATGATCTCATCGATCCTTCCAGTGTGAGCAACGGGCGGGACAGCAGGAGAGGCTGACGAGCTGCACCAGGCAGTCAAGAAGCAGGCGGCCTCGTTCCATCCACTACCTGACTCCCTCCTGCATCAGCAGCTCCACGCGCCCCCCCTCGAGGTCCGACGAGGACGATTCCTGCATGTCTGTCAAACTTCACAGCCTGATCATCAAGGCACATCTTTCTCTTCTCCTCCTCTCCCATCCCTCTATCGTTTCAGCTCTCACTATCGTCCTTCATAGACCCGCATCGAAGGACCCCACGCACATCAACTCAAACTTCACACGTCTTACCTTGACAACGCTGTCGGTCCCCTTCACCAGCCATGCTGCGTGTTCCCTGCCATTTCCTATGGCTTGTTTGACTCCTCCCTCAACTGAGAACATCTGCCCAGCGGACACACTCTCCTCTCCCATCTGCACAGGCTGGGGACCGTCGGAGCTCTCGGCGAGCTCAACGGGAGGGAGGAGGGGAGCTACTCTTAGGGATGCCACAGCAACCTCGTCCATCCCCTTCACAGCTTCTCTAAGCATCGGTTGACCAAACACCCTCCATCTCACCTGCGATTCATTCTCCAGCTCCATCCCCTGCAGCTCCCCCAGCTGGCCGTTGACAGGCGTGCCCCTCATCTTCAGCTTCTCGATTAGGACAGCTCGCTTCTCCGGCTTGCCGTCCTCTGCCAGCCAACTTTCATCTCCTTTCCTCCCAGTCCTCGTCCCTACCTGCCCGGCCGTTTGCGCCGTCAGCACCTTCGCCCTCCGCAATCTTGAAGGTGCAGACGTGCCCTTTCTTGATCTGACCGCACCTCCCGCACCTGTACGCATTCCTGTCGCCCCAGTTCAGCACAGCAGCTTTGACAATTGACGCATTCTGCCTGTTTGCAGCAGCCCGAGACTCCTCGTCCGAGCTCGGCGTCCAGGTGTTACGCGCAAGCAGCGGGTCATCCACAAGAAGACCCTCCAGCTGAGACCGAGGGAGTTGACTCGAGGCCTGAGCTGCCAACTCTCCGAGGCAACCAGAGCTCCTGACAAAGTTGGTTGGCATCGCTTGGCTGGAAGCTGCAGGTCATGACAGGATGCGTCAGAGGAGGGCGGACCTTGACGACGATGCTTGGTAGGCCTGCAATGCTGAGCTGAGCTGATTCCCGTCGGTAAGACCCTGAGACTGCAACGAGCTCGTGTCTGTGGAGTTGCCCGTCGCTGCCTTGTCTTGGAAACTCTCGTCCTGACCACTCGTTATGCTCGGGGTAGGAACGCAGCTGGCGGCTCACAGAGATCTTGAAAGGCTGAGCTGGATTTGACGGATTTTGGGAATGTGATTTGGAAGAATGCCATCTAAGGGGAGGTGAGAGAAGCAATACATAGAGATACGATGTCTTACTTCGGCGTGTCCGACGCAGATTTGGACTTCTCCCCATCGTTGACATGTTTCTGAACAGAGTTGTCTTTCCCTTCACTGGAAACATTGCCTTCCTGTTTCGTGCCAGCATGAGGAATGATGGTATGGAGTGGAGTAATCAACACAATCTACCGCTGCAGCCTGATCGGCGTTCGGTTGTTTCCCTGACTTCCTCTTGTTCTTCCTGCGAGAACCAGCTCGTTATACACAAACAACACCATCCATGTGAAAGCTTGCTCACCTGTTCGGAGCCCCTTGCGCTTGTTGCTGATGATTGTTGGGATGACCAACAGGTCCAGCTACGAAACGGAACAATGAGGAGACAGCCGCATGGACATGTTCAAGGTATCACCTCCAGCATTGTTTGGATTGTTTGCAGGAGCTGTGTATGCTCTTGAGGAGATACCAACCGTCAGGCTCACAACAGGACTGAGACTCGAACATACTTGAGGCTCACTCCGAAGAGCTGAGCGCGCTTCATCGGCTCTAGCTGCATGTACGGAGGGAAGTCATCCTTCGAGACTATATCAGTAACGCCGTTGCTTTCCTTCTGCTTGTGCTCTCTGAAACACCCATCAGCACGTGTGCAGGTGTGAAAATCCGTCACCTCAGGAAGCGAAGGTCAGAATGGATCTCCCGATATCGGATCTCTATGTGCTCCTGTGCGAACGTTGTACGGAACCATGGCTTGTACCTGATGAAAGAACGCAACAGCAGTCAAATATGTGCAAGAGCAGTCTGAAGAAGACGATTCGTTACCCTCTGATGCCAATCAGTCTCTTGCGCAACGACAAGTTTGCATGCTCGTCTCGTTCGGAGGCCAACGCTTCCTCAACTTCCCTCTCGTCCATGAGTAAACTGGCGCCAACACGAACATCAGCCAACGGTCATGGCAGGAAGATGGCCTTGCACGAGAGCGGGTCTAGAGTTACAAGTTGCTCACCTTAGCGCCTCGTCAGTCTCTTTGCGCATTTTGCTCGTCGAAACGGGGGAATCTGAGTAGGAAGCGCGACCTCTCAGCTGTAAATGAATCTGTATACCAGAGGCTGTCAGTCTCAAACCTCGCCAGGGATCAGAGGCGTACCGAGTCCGGCTCCACCCTTTCCGATACATGACAGAACCAACGATCTCGCGACCCATCCCAGTACATCTTTGAGAACCCTTTCCCCGGCATCGTCGTGCTATCTTCATCGTCGACTCCTCGCAGCTTGCAAGTGGTATCTTGGGGGTTGGAGTACAGCCACGGCATGTTTGGACGAGAGACTTTTCAAGACTCAGGCTACAATCAGCATCCTATCGCAATCGCGCATCCCTGGCTCTCGAGTATTTGCACGATCGAGCGAGAACTTGCCACGTGATTTTGGGAGGGGCTGCGATGAGGAAGACACCGCACAGCACGCCAGACCACCGAAGCTCAGAGGGATGGAAGCGATCCAACCATTGCCATCGAAACCTGATGCGCCTGTCACAACGAAACAACTTTTCAACCGCAGCGTGGAGTTCGTTCAAGATTTCCTTCGGGTGCCGTCCACTCTCACGCGCAGGCACCGATATCTTGCTCCTTCCCTCATCCATGTGCACTCAGTGAAGATTCTTTTCGCTTCTTTGACTGTGCCTAGACTCGCTGCTTCCGATTTCTGTTGTGCTGCTCTTCCCTTGCCTCCGTCATTCCACACTTCCAATCAACTCAGCTGAAGCTCCACTCTGGTCTCCAAACCCTCAATCCTCTACCGTGATATATTTCCTTCATCTCTCATCAATCAAACAATCCTCTCTCTTCTATCTATCTATCTCTCTCTCTCTCTCTCTGCGTCATTACATCGTTCTCTCCTCTCCCTTCTCTCCCTCCCTCGTTCCCTCTCCCTCCCTCCCTCGTTGGCTCCATCTCCTCTCCCTTCTCTCCTCTATGTTCCTTATCAAATCTCTTTTCTCTACGGCATCTTCTCTAACAACACCATTTCTCCCAATCCCTCCTCTCTGCCTCCCCTCCGCTCCCGTCCCCCTCTCTCCTCTCTCTCCCTCTCCCCGTCTCCCTCCCCCTCTCTCCTCTCTCTTAACCTCTCCTCTTCGCTCTCTTGCCCTCTTTCTCTCCGTTCTCCCTTGCCCCTCCCCTCCCCGCGCCCGCCTGGCTGCACTGCATCCTCGCAGTCTCCCACTACCCACCCTCTCCCTTAACCACCCTGCCTCCATCCATTTTCACCCCTACCCTCCATCACCCAGGACTGATGCAATATAATCTCTATCAAAAAGGAAACGAAACCCTAGTACCCACCCCCATAAAAATTAATTCCCCTGACCCCCTACCCCATTTTCTCAATACCATAGGACATCTATAGATCTTACTAGGACCTAAACATGGCTCTCCTTGTCTGGCGGTTGAAAATTACGACGAAGAAATGTAACCGACATTCTGGCCGCGCCGCCGCCGGCCGGCGCGCGGCGGGGCCCGGGCGGCAGTGCGGGCCGGGCCTGAAGCTGGCCGCCAAGTCGGGACCGTACGGCGGCGTTACCACCGGGCTGACTCCGAGCCTCAGTCACTGGCATCGGCCCTCAGTGATGCCGGGACCCGGAGTCCGGCGAGACTTGGCCCGTCCGCGGCAGGGTAACGCCGGCTGACGGTCGCCGTCACGGTCGTGCCACCGGGGTGACCCGTCACCCGCGCGGCCTCACGAGTCACTCGGCGCCGGAGTCAGCCTGGTGGCCCCGGCGGGAGTCTAGCAGGCTTAAGCCTTTACATGGCAAAGTGTAGTTTAATCCCGCCGGTGGCAATCGGCCCTGAGCCGCCGGGCCGGCCCGGGCCGGCCGGGCCGCCCCGCCCCGCGGGCCGGCGGCCCGCCGCGCACCGTCGGCCGCAGCGCCGAGCCTGGAGTCTGCCAGGCTCTGCTACGGACCGTGCGGTGCCACCGTCGATGGCCGCGGCACAGTGCCGGGGGCCAGGCCGCAGAGCCTCCGCTACGGTGCCGGCCCCCGGCGGCCCGGAGCCTCCCGGCGCCGCGCCCAGCCGCGGCCCTCACTGCGGCCGGGCTGATCATCGGATCGCTCCGCCGGGCCGGCGCCGGGAGCGGGCAGGCCGCTGTTCCGAAGTACGGTCACGGGCCGACCGTACGGTCAGCCTCACCGAGTCACTGAGTCGGCCCCGGCGGGGACTCAGTTGAACTTCGGAGCCCGGCCCGGTGACTCAGTATCCGGGCCTCACACTGAGTGTCCTCATCAATCTGAGCGAACCTGCGCCTTGTCATCTCAGCGGCTACTCGCGCCTAACTTCGTTATGAAATCACTGACCAAGTAGGACGAAGAAGCCGCCGAGATCGTTCAGAAGCGCCTTGTAGTCCACAGCACTCAAAACTGACGTTCACACATGGTTACTTGCTAGCCTCGTAGGATAGGGCAGGCAAGTCAAACTCACCTAATGTGTTGTGATAGCATGACAGGAGAAGTGCTAGAGGTGCTATCGCAAACAACCAGGTCGCCTTTTCAAGCATGCGAGCGATCGTGCTTAGGTACAGAAAGAAGACTGCAAAAGAAAGGTCAGATTAGAGGGATGAAGACTGATAAAGTCGGAGGACAACATAGAGGAGTTGGAGGAGGGAGTGGAAGAAAAGGTATGGCCCTGGGAGATGCAACACGCGGCTGCAGAGGAAGCACAGGAGGCACAGGAGGAAGAAAAACATCACGAGAAATCCTCAGAGCACTGGACATTTGATCACCACAAGACGTTGCGATGACCCCTGGAACAACGTACAGGACAAGACCGGACGAGCAGTAGCATAGCGTTATCACCACTGCCGGTCTGTCAGGCTGCAAGAGTAGAAAGTGGATAAGGGACCTGCTGCAAACAGAAACATTGACAGCCAAAACGTCCTGCTGCTCTCTGCCTGCGAGGTACGGCTGGCGCAAGGGACATCCGCGATGGCCTCTGCTGCCTCCTCACTCGTGATGTTTCGCACATCCGTCGCCGTGTGGTTCATCTGCTCTGTCGGCGATGTTGTCCTCGCGCTCTCCCTGAGGATATCTCTCGGTGCCGTCGCTTCCTCGGGCCGTCGAGTAGCTGCATCGCCAAGCTCTTGCTGTAGAGATCCTCGTGCAGGGCCATGGTTTCCTTGCTCTTCCTTTTTCGTCCTCACCGTCGACATGGCTCTCGGGGGTTTCTTGCAACTGAAGTGCTCGTCGATGGTCAACTTGGAGGGGCGAAGAGGAGAAGGAAACAAGGCGCGTGCTGTCTTCTCATAATCGTCTCTTGCCCTCTCATCCTCTCCTGCATCGACATCCCTTGCTGGCGACGACTTGAGTGTCTTCCTTCGCCTCCCCTCTTCTGTCGAGACAATCTTCCGTTTGCGAAGATCGTGCACAACAACTGTCTCCGGTGTTGGATCACCCTCCGTCATCCTGCTAATGGCATCATTCTAGTGCTCAAACTACGAAAAGGCAATATTCAAGCATCCAAAAATGATGCGAAAATGATGCAAGGTATCGAATCATTTTCATCTTCTCCCTGCCCCCCTGGCCCTCGAAGCCATCTTTCTTCCTCCCTTCCTTCTGGACCTCATCCTTCCTTCTTACTCTCCCACTGTTATGTGTCTCAATCTTCACTCTTTCTCCTCGCCCTTTATCTTCTCCTCGCCAAGTTTATCCTCTCGTCTTCAGCCTGATACCTCCTTTTTCCTTTTTCCCGTCTGCTCCCGCCGCTACCCTGCCTTCAGTGCAACAAACTCCCGGCGTCGCCGGCGTCGGACTGCTGGGCCGCGACTGCACGGTGCCGGGCCCGGGTCGCGGCCCGGACCCGGAACTTCGGAACGGTCCGACGGCTTGACTCTCAGTGCGGCCGTACGGTCACACGCCGGGCCCGGGGCCCGGGGTCTGACGGTAACCGGGTGAGGGCCCAGGCCGACCGTCACTGTAGCCGGAGGCTCACTGCCCTCAGAACTCACGGTTTACGGGTAGTACGGTTCAAGGGCCGGCAGTGACCAACTTGATGTCAAGGCTCGGAACTTCCTGGCAGCGGCCAGCAAATTCATCCAGCCTGGAAGTTAAGGAACAGCGGTTTGTGAGAGATAACTCAAGACAAAAGCATAGAGCTTTCTTTCTCAAGCTGATGCTCTTCCTTGCTAAGAATGATTATTCCGGCGACCATGTCAAGCATCATTTACAAAGACGAGGATATTGAAGGAGGTGGAGAGCAAGGGCATCACGCTCACGGTTCAACGGTTACTCCGAGGCTCTCTGGACCTCGAAAGGGCTATTGTGGAGATAAAGAACCGCGTCAACACAGGGCAGATTTCTACGCCAGGCTCTTCGTCTTCTCGCCACTTGCGCTCTGCCTCGAAGGGTGGACAGAGGCTAAGGTATGATGAGAGCAGGTGAAAATTCTGTGGATGATGTATTGAGAGGTGACATAGACACAGCGATTGAATGTTGGCATGGAGAGAGAATATAAATGGTTGGCATGATCCCTAGCATAATCCTCCGTAATGGAGGGTTGAAAATTGAATTCAGGACATCAAAAATTATTTTGGGAAAGCAAAATCAAACCCTCCATGCTCCATACCCGCCATGGGTGCTGAAATAGCACCGGCAGAACAGGGAGAAGGACATCCAACTATGTTGGGTGTCGGCAGACATGCTAAGATTCATCAATGATGAATAGTTTTCTTTTAATTTTAAGCTGAAAATAAGGGGCAAGTTGAGTCACGAACGAAAATATCATATCAATGAAAGCCTGACGAGGATGATAAGGGAAGTAAGAGTGAGTGTTTGAAAAAAGTGTCATGTGGTCAAATCAATAGAACGTAAGCATAATCACGAAGGAAATGTCATGTGACCAAAATCACACAACACAATTATGTCAAATAAGTCAAATTGTTGTATTCTGGACTCATCATACCGGACGCCCCTTGTGATGCGGGTATAGTCCAGCAACTGAGCGATAGTGCACTTAGGAGTAGAACAGATGAACAATGAAGCTAGATTTGTTTATGTACAGCAGTAAGAGAACACACGTCAATGTTCGTGCAATCCCATTCCGATGACGTGGCCAACGTCTAAGATGGGTTGCTTATATGTCGAGGTCAGGCTTAACCCGTAATACAGCAATGAGTAAACATGTGTATCGGTTTATACCAGCCTCATGCTTTCATCATACCAATGTGTTGTACGTACGTCTACGTCCAGTACACATCTTCGATTCTAGCATTATACACCTCGCCAGCGTACGTAGCCTCTTGCGACTACTCGCATGATGCTGCCATGTCCGTTACTGACGTAACGTCATGCGGGTGCAACATCACTCCCCCTTGCTCGAAACTCAGTGTCGTCACTGCGTGAGAGCATTGATTTATGCAACACCGGGACCGACCCAACGATTCTGGTGCTGTATGAGGGTCTCCCTTTGTCTCTTCGCGAACTAACCAACAAAATGCGAAAATGGCAGAAAGCCAAAATGCAAATGTGGCCCAGGACGGTGAGTTCCCAGTACGTTTCAGCAAATGACATAGGTTCCAAAGTCATACATGCATTCATATGCCTTTCAGTGAGCATAACACGTCGTTTCCACATGCTTTTACGTTTCCTTCGTAGCATTTTGTGGATGCACGTGAGGAATTGCGTGTAGCATTTTTGAGGTAACGAGACGTTGGATTGCCTTTCACACACTGCTGATTGTGTGGGGTAAGCAATTCCAAACCCTGATGTAGCTTTTCGCATCATCAACTAGCTTCAATGGAAGTTTAGAGCAGCTATGCAGCATTTTGCTACACGCCGGTTACCCACGTAGTGAGTTAACGAAGAGTACGTTTCCATGTTTCAAAAGAAATCATGTTACGCGCCATCGCCCTGATTAGCAATCATGTTTCCATGTCACCATATCAGCCCATGCACTATGGGGAAGCTGTGCTATGAAACTCTTACTCCTTTCTCCCATGTCCATTTGCGTTTGCAAGCAACTATCACTACCCACTGAAGTCGCAATGCCCCAGGGATGCTCAAGTTGTGCCACATGCTTATGGTTTCGCTTGTACTATGCTACTCCCTGGTACTAGAACAGTCCAGAGGCGCTCAGCACTTCGCGTATGTGTCTTTGTCCTTCGAAGGATCTTAGACAAGTTTGAGAAAAGTTTATTCATTTTGAAAATTACCAAAGGTAATCATCGTATGAATTACTTTTTTGTTTTCCTTTGATAGCGTATTGCTTCAGGGAGGTTCAACAATTGGTCTCTTAGATAGAGAAACTGATCAGCGGGCAGCGGTTTTGTGAATATATCAGCAACTTGCTCGCTTGTATGAATTGCTTCCAAGGTAATCTCCTTGTTGGCAACGCATTGTCGTATGAAATGGTGTCTTCTCTTGATGTGTTTCGATCTGCTCTTGCTGACGGGATTCTCGCTGAGCTTGATGCAGGCGGCGTTGTCTTGATAGCATATCGTCGTAGGTTGCTTGTATCCCATGAACTCGAGCGTCTCTCGTAAGTACAAAATCTCGATAGCTGTAAGCGTGCTTTGGATGTATTCGCTTTCCATGGTAGACAGTGAGACAGTGTTGTGTCTTGCTGATTTCCATGAGATTGGTGTCCCATTGAGGAAAATGACGTATCCACCGGTTGATCTGCTTGTGAGCTTGCAATCGGCGTCTGAGCTATCGCAGAATGCGACTAGTTCCATTTTCTTGTGTCCGTTGTCATCGTTGTCGGTGTATCTGATTCCTAGTGTCTTGGTGTTCTTGAGATAAGCGTATACTCTGTGCACTGCCATTAACAGTTTCTTCGTAGGACTTGTGAGATATCTTGATAGCAATGATACTGCATAGCTGATTTCTGGTCTTGACCATGTTGCTATGTATATCAGACTTGCTACTTGGCTTCTGTAGATTTTGACTAAGTCTTCAGGCGCGTGCGGATCAACGTCTTCTGGTTCGATCACGAACTTGGGATCCATTGGCGTGGTGAATTTCCCTGTAGGGTCGATCCCCTCAAGGTTAAATCTTTTCAAACATTTTTCGATGTACGCTTGCTGGTTGCTGATGAAGTCTCCAGCTTCGTCCCTCTTGTACGCGACTCCCAGATAGAAGCTAAGATCGTTGTCAGTTGTTACGCTGTATCCTTTTGTGTTCATCATGAAGTCGTCGAACTTTGCAAATAGTGCTTGGCTGTTGCTAGCTTGGATGATGTCGTCGACTACTAATGCGATGATGATCTCTCCCCCTTGCTCGTCATGATATAGAAACAAACAATCATCTGACGTGC